GTTCGGGGACCTTGTGGTGAGGCTGGTAGGGTGCTGGAGAGCTGGAACATCCCACCTGGCGCTTCAGGGACCTCGTGGTGAGGCTGGTAGGGTGCTGGAGAGCTGGAACATCCCGCCCGGCGCTTTGGGGACCTTGTGGCGAGGCTGGTTGGGTGCTGGAGTCCCAGGGGATGGTTTGTGCCATCGGTTGAAAGCAGCATTAGTGCCTGGTGTTGTGCAGCGCCTGTGTTTCGCTGGGGCCACAGCGGTACCAGATGCAGGGAGGGGAAGGGGTGCCTAATTGGGAAAATGCTTTCCTGGGGTGCTTCTGTGTTACTGTATTAATAGTTGCTACAGGAGATGATGGCTCCTTTTGGGATTGGAGAGTAGGTGGGAGGAGGAGGAGGAGAGGAATGCTGGGTTCAGCTGCTCCTGCACTGTGCTCTGAAAGCAGAGCCTGAGCTTGCCAGCAGCAGCCTTATGCAACGAACCCCCTTTGGCCTGACTTTTTAGCTTAAAAAACACCAACCCCGTGTCAACTTTTGCCCAGCCCCTTAAGGGTCTGTGCGCTGACGTTCAAGGTAATACCTTGACGGAGCTGTTGGGCCCCCTCCCTGTTCCCCTGGAGGGCCAAGGGCTGCTGCTGCAGAGGCAACGGTGGTTGGAAGGAGGTCCAGCTCCGCTGCGGGAGATGCCAGGCTCTCGGCACTGTGCGGCGAGTGAGCAGCAAAGGCCTGATGGCTCTGCTCCCCGCCACCCATGTCCCATGGGAAAAGCAGCTCCCTGCTCTCAGGGCAAGAAACAAGCTGCCCCCCTGCCAAGCAGGGGCACTAGGGGAAGGCTTAACGATCCTGCAGCCACTTCCAGGCCATTTGGGCAACCGAAAGGTGTTGATTACATGACAGCAGTTACAGCTTGGCCAAGCGATGGTGGGCAATGGGAGAGGCCTGCCACAGCCTTACGCGGCATGCACACCAGCGTGCCAGGGTTATAGGGCTCCTAAAGCAGAGTAGAGGCATCAATCTGGCCATCGTGCATCGGGTCTGTGGGTGGTCTTGGGCAGCCTCTGAAGCCAGGCTTTCCAGAAGGTGGCCCAGAGTGGTGGGAGGCTGCTGAGGACCGAGTCCCACAGCTCATCAACCAGCTCTGGAGGTGGTAGCAGCAAATCTTTTGAGTGGGGAGCACTTGACCACCTGCAGAGCCCTCCCCAGCTTCTCCATGCCCGTGGCTACCTGCAGGGTCGGCTGAAAGACCTGCTCAGGCTGGGGGGAGTTCCTCTGCAACAGCCATGCACCATGTGGCATCAGGCCAGTCCTACACCATCCCCACACCAGTTTGGTATCCACGTTCCTCAACTCCTGCACCTCCAGCTGGAACCACAGACCCTTCTCTGCATCTGCAGCAGCCCCAGCACCCCGGGGTGCTGCATGTCCTGCACTGCCCTCCTATAAATGTTAAAAACCACCTGGTCAGTGAGCAGGGCTGCAGCCTGCTGCGGTGGCGGTGGCTCTTCTGCCTCAGCCAGGGCAGTTTTGGAGAGACCTTCCAGCTTGTAGCCCATTTTCTTTCTCCTCTTTTGCTGGTCTTGGCCTTTCTAGGCATGAAATTCAGTATTTCCTTTCCTCTTTCTGAGCCTATAAGGATTTAAGTGGGTCATCAGTGAGGTCACAGCAATAACCAAGTCATGATCTTACTAGATCTCCTAAGTTGAGTAAGGGGTCTAGATCTTACTAGATCTCGTAAGTCTGGGGAGGGGTCTGGAGCACAAGGCTTACGAGGAGCGGCTGGGGGGGTTCAGCCGGGAGAAGAGGAGGCTGAGGGGAGCCCTCATCGCCCTCTACAACTGCCTGACAGGAGGGGGGAGCCGGGGGGGGTCGGCCTCTTCTGCTTGGGAACGGGCGGTGGGACAAGGGGGGATGGTCTGAA